GCACTGTCTGTGAGGGAGTCTTTAGCCAGTAAACAAATAACTGTATTGGAACACCCTCCCTACTCACCTGATCTGGCCCCCAGTGACTTCTTTCTTTACCCGAAGATAAAGGAAATATTGAAAGGGAGACATTTTGATGACATTCAGGACATCAAGAGCAATACGACAAGACCTCTGATGGCCATTCCAGAAAAAGAGTTCCAAAATTGCTTAGAAGGGTGGACTAGGTTCTGGTGTCGGTGTATAGGTTCCCAAAGGGAGTACTACAAAGGTGACCATAGTGATATTCAGCCATGAGGTATGTAGCACTTTTTCTAGGACGAGTTCGTTAACTTAATTGTCGGACCTCGTATCTCATCCATCTTTCCTGACAGTTACATACATGTCTTACCTCATTCTTTCTTAATGGTTCCATAATATTTCATAAGAGGTATATGCCATCATTCTTTTAACCAGTTTTCTATTGTTGCATATTTATGTTCTTTTTCTTTTTTTGCTATTCCAATGCTGCTGTGTACATGTGGGGGCACTTTTCTCAGCTGGATACCTGGAAGTGGAGTTCTTAATCATGGCTTTTGTCTTCAAGTCATTTTTAACATTTTCCCCCTCAACTGTGCTTCATGATGCCTTGCACCTATTAGGCACTTAATAAATATTTACTGAAGTGAACACTTAAGGGTTTTCATTCTGGATTTATCCCTAGCTTGCTATTTCATTTCAGTAAACTGTTTTATGACACCCTCATGCCTATTTCACTTCCTCTAAAATGAATGAAAGTTTCAGTTATCTAGTCTTCGTTAAAGGGAACTAAGGTGAAATGAATGAAGCAGTGTTGTTATTGTCTGCTATATGTGTGATACTGGGGGGTGTACAGAGGTGAGTAAGAGGGAGCCTCTGCCGTCAAGGTATTTACAAACCATCAGGATGATGCAGGTAGGATGTGTGGTACATCCCTAAGAGGCACACATGTGTTCTAATAGGAGCGTTAAGGAAGGGGAGAAATGCTACCTAACTTGGGTGCTATCAGGGAAGACCCCACAGAAGAGTGGACAGTGAGATGCCCTTAAAGGAAAGGTAAGATTTGGACAAGTGGAGGTGTGCCAAGGGTAAGGGGCTGCTGGTGGTTCTCGGCAGAGGAGCAGCATAATGAATTCAGAGAGGGTGAGAAAAATGAGAACTCAGGTTCCACTGGGTGCAGGGTGAGTGCAGGGAGCAGCCGGAGACGAAGTTGGAGAGCCAGCAGGGGACCTGCTGTAGTTGGCCCAGAATCCAGACAGGGGTTTGGTACTAACCTGGTAGGCACTGGACCGTCTTGGGAGGCTTTTGAGTGGAATTATATTATTGGAGTTCGGCTTGAGGAAGCGGTGTCAGTGGTCAACCTGGGGCATGGATAAAGGAGAGTCTTTTTTTCCAGAGGTTTCTGTGATATAACTTTTTGCCTGTCTCTTTTCCCATCCCTCAATTCTTCCCTTAGCTGTCTGAAAATGTGGTTAACCGCATGAAGAATTCCAGCCAGCCTTCCAAAGTCGGCCAGCTGACTTTTCCTCCTGCTCCTGCACCTTCCGCATTTGGCATCTCTAAAGGCCTGGAGAAAGGTACGCAGGCTGCAGTAATGCTGTGGAGAGCGGGAGTCGAGTGTGCAAGGAATGACAAATCATGTTCCTGTCAAAACATGCCAATGTGGCTCCCGTTTGTTTCTGGGTGATGTAAGCAACTCTTTTCTGATTGCTGCTTTCCAGGAGAGTGTGGCTTCTGTGCATGACAGACACTGTCTAGTATAAAGGGAGCAGCACAAGTCAGTCCGAGCCTCTGTGATTGGGGCTGGACCATTTCCTCTTACTCTTTCAGCTTCTCTGTATGTAAAAAATGAGGCAAAAGGGTTTGGTTTGACAACCCCAGGAAGAAGTTGCTTTTAAGGATCCGTAAGTGAAGCATAACCATTACTGTTGGTATGGCCCAAAGAACGATAGGGGTTTACGTGAAATGGGCCAGTTGAGGGGAATTGAGTCAGTGACTTTGGCTTCAACCTCAGCACCTCTACCCTCAGATCCTGGTCTGGCTACTGGGCAGTCCACTCTGGGCTTCATGAGCACCTGCTACGCGGCACCTCCTAGGAGCTCCTCCTCTGGCACCCACGCGGGGCTCAAAGCTGATTTGTTCCTTACTCTTGTGCCCATCGCAAATAAAGAAATTGGTCTTTTTCTCCAATAACTACTATCAGCAAACACAAAGGAACAAAAAAGTTTAAGAAAGGAGTAAGGTACAAAAATATTAAGATATTACAAACTAGACAGGTCTTGGGGCAACTGCTGTTCTACTCAATGAGTACTTGTTTATGAGAATCTGGGTCATAGCTATCACCTGTAACTTGATGTGTATTTTTTCACTGATTGACTGTTGGAGCCACGGCACTGTGGAGTACAAACCCTGTCTCATAGTGGATAACCGTTCATTGTATTGTGAGTGGCCTTGCATTAGAGTTGTCTTCTCTGCTAATCTTTCCTATTAGGTGATAAGATTATAGAAGGCAGGAGCTATATCCTGTCCACTCGGGATTTACTGAAAGCTTGCCATCAGGATGAGTGCTTCATGCTGGGACACAGCAACAGGTAGACAGGGACCCCTCTCTTATGGTACGCACAGCTCTAGTTAAGGAGCCAGATGTATAACCCTGTAGATTACATGTATCATGTGATGTTGCAACAGTAGAAGCATGCCCAAGATCCAAGGTAGCACACAGGAAAGAGTGACTCATTATTTTAGGGTAGGAGTCCAAGGGGAGATGACCTCTGAACTGGATTTTGAAAGAGCAGTGGTAGATGGACAGTTCAGGCATGGTGAACAGCATTAGCAGAGGTCTAGAGGTGGTGCAGCCTGTCTTGTTTGGGGAACTAGAAATGGTTTGTTGTCTCTGGAGTACAAAGTAGAAGGAAGGGGTAGGTGTCAGGGCCATGCTCAGGGGCCAGGTCCTGGAGACCGCTGTACAGTGGCTGGAGAACTCTGGCTTCATCCTCATGGCCAGGGTGCCAGCCAAGCCTTCGACTCCTCTCCCCCTGTATTGTCTGCCTCAGGGCTTCCTGAGTGTTGGAGCAAATCAGTACCTGGATTTGGACCCACCCTGAGATCTTTTTGAATAACTGTCAGTGAAGGGGCTAAGTGAGGTTCTCAAAACCCACATAAGATGCCCCTGTTCATTATCAGAAGAGCTAGCTCCCATGCTCTCTAGCTGACTGATCAGTCGAAGTGAATGTAACTTAACCTAATGCACTTTAATAAACTGCATTAACTGTTGAAAGGGAGAAGTGGTCAAAACAAAAATTGCCAAATTATATCACACACACATCAGTTTCAGCTTTGGAAGATAAAAGAAGCACTTGTTTCAATTTTGGTAAGTTTTAGCAGTTTAAGACGCATGAATAGTGGCTCATTTGTCATTTGGTTTTAGTTTTAAACAAGTATTTTGCTGTTTAAATGATGAGTAAGTTTTGAGTTTCTGAATGCTGAAGAATAGTCAGCATAAATCAACTGTCATGAAGTTGACTAGTTTTAAATATTTGTACTTTTCTTAACAAGTCAATGTTTTAATTAATTAAATTTAATTTTTTTTAGAAATTTTATTGGGGAACAGTGTATTTTTCCAGGACCCATCAGCTCCAAGTCAAGTAGTTGTTTCTATCTAGTTATGGAGGGCTTTGTTCCAGGACCCATCAACTCCAAGTCAAGTAGTTGTCTTTAATCTAGTTGTGGAGGGTGCAGCTTCTTGGCCCATGTGGGAATCGAACCAGCAACCTTGGTGTTATGAGCCTGCGCTCTAACCACCTGAACTAACCAGCCGCCCAAATATTTTTACTTTTAAAATCAGTGTTTGCTTTTATTTTAGTGATGGAACAAATTAGAAAAAGAAGTTGAAATTAAATCCTTATGTTACACCATACCTCAAAATAAATGTCAGAGGAAATAAAAGATTTGAATGTAGGAATTGAAGCCATAAAAGTATAAGGGTACATAAAAGTATAATAAGTAGACTTTCTATGTGCTCCATTAAGTTGAGAACCCCTAAATTCTGAAGAAAAGTGGATAATGTAACTGTAAGAAATTAGAGACAATTTAGAAAAAATAAATGAAAGATGAATGATAAACTAGGGAAATATGACACGACAGTATTAGTAGTCTTCATATATAAAGAGTTCTTAAAGATCATTAATAGAAAATATACACAAATGAACATAAATATGTGATGTGATTCTCAATTTTGCTAATGATACATGTATTAAATAATGAGCATTACCAAGGGGGCAGGGAAATGGGTAGGTTTGTACATGGAAGGTAAGAGTGTGGATTAGTGCCACATTCGCTACAATGAGTAGATATATTATTTCTGTAGTGATAAGAGAAAATTGTATAAAAAGCAAAAATAAATAGGATAAATTATACCTCAATAAAGCTCTCATAAGTACATAAATAGGAACAGGGAGCCTTAATGTCAAAATACGAACTGGGCAGCAGTATATGATTTTTATTCCCAGTGGAGAACCTGGCATGTTACTGTGGAGCATTTAGGTGTGCCCTCCTTGCAGGCCAGAGCACTGCCATTCCCATCCTTCTGTGAGAGGGCATCTGAGAGGGCGAATCTTAGGATAATTACTTTTGGAAATGACTCACTGAAAGGTTGAGTGTGTGAGGCCCTAAAGTTCAGCATGCTTAACGCCTTGGGAGTGAAATAGCAAATCCTCACATATTCTTTCACAAAGCCTGGTTCTTCTATAATATTTTGTGCAGTCTTAGTTGCTGCCTCTTTAGAAAGCTGTGATGGAGGTGTCGGACATTTAGCCAAGGCCACAGAAAAGTGTTGAACTTTGGCTGAGAGGTGGTTTGGGAAGGATAAAGTCTGGGGGAAGGAGAACAGAACCTTCAGTATCACCAAGTGGTGGAGAGAGTACAGTGAATTGGATTTGCTCAGAAAGTTCATGACCATCAAAAGGTAGACCTACTGTAACAACTTAAAGAATCCAATAATACTAGAGGTGATACAGGTTAAATGATATATAAAATATCATTAATATGGGGTATTTGCCACTTTCAGGATTATAAATCTGTAGACTGTGGTACTGAGGCAAACAAGATTTAAGGAGCCTCCTCTCCCCTCTCCTCCGCTGTGTCAAAACCCAGACCGTGGAGGCTGTCTTTCAGCATGAAGCAGAGCAGTGGTCCCTCAGTTCTTCCGGGCCTGTGTTTAGGAGATGACCTAGATTTCAAGTAGTTGTAGGGTGAGTAGGGATGGATTTGGAACACTGCACTCAAATGGCTCTGCCTGCTACCAGCCCCAGGCAGTAAGTGGTCCTGGGGGTGTAGAATAAGAGAGCGGGAAGGCCTTCAGGCCATCCCTCCCCAGACTGGCTGGATTAAGGATGTGTTCTTAGTCCATCCCTGGGGGTGCACGTCTGAGCTCCTTTCCTAGATGCCTTCGCTCATCCTGGGATACTGCTGACAGGCCTTTTCTTCTCATGCCTTTGCAGACTCTAAACTGCCCAGGTCAGAGTATGGTGGTAGCCGGCAGCCCTCAGGGGTGGAGGAGGATCTCAAGAGGTGAGCAAGAGGACCCACTCACCCCTGGCTCTGCACTCCAGCTGAATGCTGTTTCCTCAGTGGGTACCTTTCCCTGGCCTAAAGGCCCAAGAGTTTGTCTCACACATTTTTTCGTATTTGGATTGCATGTCAGCCTTAGGGTATAGGTGACACTGGCCTCCGTTTAAGGATGAAGAAACATCAAAAGGGGTGTGTGGGAGTTGATCGCTCATGTTCTTAAAAATTCACTTGAAAAAGCCAGTACTAAACAGTTGAGTGTCTGGATCTTCTGTGCCTGTGTGTGCGTGCAGGCGTACTTTTAGAGATCTGAAGGAGAAAGGAGCCCTCACAATTCTAACTGTAGTAGGCAAAGTGGACTGGCTCCAGGATGTTGGTGACTTCCCATCAGCACAGGCCACAGCCCTAGAGAGCTGGCCACACCTCCAAAATGGGGCCTGCTTCACTTGCCATGAGGCTTGTAGAACGGTGCTTAAGGCACAGAGGCCATCCTGGAGTGCAGGCTTGCATCCTCGTTCTGCCACTTACTGGGAATGTGCCCCTGGACAATCACTGTATCTGCCTAGGCCTCTGAGAAGGGCATAACTTGAATACCGTTTTTACTGGAATATTGTCGTGCTTGAATATGTTAATGCATGTAAAGCATGCACAGTGCCTGACACACAGAGTTCTCCGTGAATGCTAACAGTAGTTGTTATTGATCAGCTTCTTTGACACCCTTGAGGACATTGGCTTCTGTGACAAAGGACCCAGTAAGTTTGTTTAGCAGGCTCTGTGTTAGCCACAGTTGGTTTGCTCCTTCCAGTAGGTCAGCCATGTGGGTCTGTTTCCATAGTCATGAATTGAGACCCGCGTTCTAAGAATCTAACCTCCCTAATCCTAACAGGCCTCTCCAAGAACAACTAACTTGAAACTTTTTTTTTTGTACTTTTAAACTGTTAAAAAATGTTCAAGTAATACATACTAATGAAAGACTTAGAAAATATATAAAATGAAAAAAATCACCCATCATTTCATGACAACCACTGTTAGTGTTTTGGAGTGTTTCTTTCAAATGTCTTCTTTCCCTTAGTTTAGGATTATTTTTTCAAAGTCATATATAATTTTATATTTTGCTGTTTTCACTTAATATTATAATTAGTTTTCATTTGTTATACCTGCTTTATAAACATTTTTATTGCTAAAAATATTGTTTATTCTCAATTTTAGATCCAACCTATAGACAAATCAAATAATGAATATTTTCTAATGATGTAATATACCATTGTGTGATTATACTAGATTTTCTTTAACTTGACCTTGATTGTTGTACATTTCAGCTATTTGCATTTTTTACACTATTATAAATAATACTTCTAAGACTATCTTAGTACTAATAACTTTTTTTTCTTTAGGGTTATTTTATTGGGCAGAAAGCCCAGAAATAGGTCAAAGGTTAGGAACACACTCAGAATGAAGAGTTACATGTTCAAAAACAAGGGCTGATGTTATCTAAAACCTTCAGGCCCTTGAGTATAGGTAGGTAAGGTGGGCTTCCCATTTGCTTACCCATTTTGAAGGAATGGCTAGTGCAGGGTTGAACCCCTGTTCTGAGAGTCTCTCATTTTGCTATGGCTGCCTGCTTTCTCACGTGGTGGTCAGCTCTCTTTCTGTTCCTAATCTGTATTGTCATGGCTGAGAAAGTGTCATTGTATCCTTTTGCCTTGGGGATTGTCACTGATTCCTGACCGAGGGGTTGGATTGAGGATGGGATTTCGCAGTATTCTCTCTGGCCAGTCTCAGAGTTCCATTGGCCCACAGATCCCAGCTCCCTGGCCAGCTGAAGTGAGTGCACAAACTTCTTCTTGGCTACCTTCTGCCAATCATTCCATCTGTACCTGCTTCTCCCATCTCTTTCCTGGCACAGGTATAAACAGGAACAGGCCACCGTCCAGGATGAGCTGTTCCAGGCAGCGAGGGAAAGAGAGGCAGCTATGAAGCATCTGAGTGCATCCCTGCATTCGGAGGAGGGCAGCGTTGACCAGGAGAAGCGGAAGTCAGTCCTGCTGGTGAGTACAGATCTTCCTGAGCTGGCTTTTTGTGCTCTCACAGCACAGGGAAACAGAGGTCAGGCCTAGCACCTGATCTTACTGAAGCCCAGGGGTCAGCCTGCCCATCCGATGTCCTCCAGATCACCTCTGTGGAAAGGGTATCTTCCTAAGGAGCAGGAACTTGGGTTCTTCTAGCCCTGGATCTGGCACTGATATGCTTCGCTGTGTTCTGGCCTGTGTTTTCAGTCACGGGGGACCTCAGGTCTATCCCATGAGGGCTGGATCATTTGAAGGCCTGGTCCTGCTCTGAAACCTGACAGTTGTAGGTGCTGCTGTGGTATGTGTGCCAGGAAGGTGTGAAGAGAGAGGACTGGGGCTTGGGGCCATGCAGTAAATGAGATGGAGAGCATCATTTGTAGAGTTAGGCAAGCTGGTGTAAATCCTAGCTCCCTAGTTGCTGGTGTGGACATGTCCTCCAGCATCCATGAGCTTTGATCCAGGATTAGGATGTTTGCACTCAGTGCCGCCCAAGGGATGAAAGGAGGTAATAAGCAATTGCAGGGGTAGTGCGCCATGCCAGATCATGAATGTGACGCAGGCTGTATTTCACAGCATGAGAACTCTAGAAGTGCCCTAGGCTTGACTAATTCAGCAGCCCATTGGTGTCTTCATGGACCCCAGCTCTTCTTCCACTCCGCCATCCTCAGCATGCCAGTGCATCTCAGACCATTTGTCCCCACAGTTAAACGGTGGTTGATACCGCTGTCCCGGTCTTGTGCAGACAGGACAACTCTCAGCAAAAGAAGAGAGGCTGTGTTTGTTCTGTCAGCAAGGAGAACGTTCCCAGAAGCCTCCAACAGAAGTGCTGTTAAATCACATTAACCTAAATTGCACCATGTGCCCATGGCTAAGCCAGTCATAGGCCGAGGGAACAGGTACGGCACCACTGACTCAAGCTAGGGCTCTTTTCTAGTCACATTTCAGAGGTGTGTGTGTGGGGAGGTGGGCATCCAGACAGAATTAGGACTGACAGTAATTAATAATTCTCCTAATTCCAGTGTATGGGGTTTCCCCCCCACACATCCAAGGAATTCTTCAATACTAGCTGGATGTCCTATAATTAAACTCAGTTCTGACACTTGTTGACGTAAGAAACATCCAAACCTGTAGAGAAGTTTAATGAGTTTATTTGAGCCAAACTGACGACAATTGCTGGGAAGCAAAATCTCAATTAAGAAAATGCTCTGGAGTATGGCAGTTTTGCAGCTTATTTTATACATTTGAATAAAAGGAGGAGATACAAAAAGGGTTACATGAAATCTACTGGTTGTAGATTAAGGGGGTGGGCGAAAGCAAAGTGAGGAAATCTCTGGGATTAGATAAAAAGTAAAACGGAGAGACGCATACTTCTTTGACATTGGTGGGTACAGGATAGTTAATTAACATTTTACAGCACATAGAGATGGTATTCGGGGAACAAGATAACAATGAGGGGCTCTACAGTCTCACTCTGGTTTGGTGGGTTGTACTCTGAGGAGTCTGGAAAGCGGGATTACTCTGATTCTCTAAGTAAGGGTTTGTTAGCTTAGATGTAAAAAGATAATAGGCTCACTTAAGGTAAAGATTGATTTTTGTCAAGGAAGCTACAGGCCAAGGTTGTGACTACCAACCATGACTCGCTTTTAGTTAGGAATTTTTATGTTCAGACCACCCTATGTGGTTGATTTCGGTTTCTGAGTTTGTAGAGCCTGTCATGCTGGCCCCCCATGAGCTTGTCAGGTTTAGTATGTGGCCCCTTTTTCATTCACACTTTCTACCAGGAGAGCATCAGATTCCACAGGTAAGGGCTTAGCCCCACAAAACCTTCCCCCTCCCTCAGATGCCAATTGAAGTCTAGTGCTTCTGACTGACTGACTATAAATCAGAAATTTCCACGACGCCATCCTTGGGTTTGACTAATGTGCTAGGGCAAATTAGAAACATGTTTCTAGATTAGTGGTTATTTTAAAGGATGTAAATCAGGAACAGCCAGGTGGAGGAGATGCATAGAGCAGGATATGGGGAAAGGGCATAGAGCTTCCATGCTCTTTCTAAGCATGTCACCCTAAATCTCCATGTGTACACCAATCCAGAAGCTCTCCAAACCCAGTCCTTTTGGGATTTTATGGGGCTTCATTATATAGGCATGATTGATTAAATCATTGGCCAATGATGATTGAACTTAACCTCCAGCCCAGTCTCCCCTTCTTGGAGGTGGTAGTGGGGGCGTGGGACTGAAAGTTTCAACCCTCTAATCACATGGTTGGCTTCACTAGCCACCAGCCCCCATCCTTGGGTGCTTTGCAAAAGTCATTAACATAACAACAGATACCTTTATCATTCTTCATCACTTAGGAAATTCCTAGGGTTTAAGGAGCTCTGTGTCAGTAATAATGGAGGAAGACCAAACGTTTAGTTCTCACAAATTGTGATATCCTGGTTAGAAGTGGGGTGGGGTGGGGAAGAAATGGCTGTAGCAGCATGTAATAACATGCTTCAGGGACCATGGGCTTCAAGACCAGGAGCAGAGTTGCTCTGCTCCAGGTGGGTGGCTTGGGTGTACTGTGCTCCACAGAAGAAAGCTGGAGACAGTATGAGATCACCACTCAGGACTGTATCTTCTCGGGAGGGGAAGGCCTCTGCACAGATGTTCAAAGCATGTAGTAAGCACATAAGAAATGCTGGTTAAAATAGGCCCTCTGGGAAATACGAACAATATAGGATCCTTGCCCTTGGGAGATTTTAAGTCTAATGGGGAACACAGACTTACACCAAAAACTTTGAAAAAGCCCAAATTGTGGTTATATTAAGTGTGAAATGGAAGTAAAGATAATATGCCTGGGAATCCAAAGGCAGTGGTGTCAACTGCTGGTGGAAGAGATGGCATTTGACCTTGTCAATGAAAGCATGTCCAGCCTAAGAAAGTCATCTAAAAATTTATTTGACCCAAACTGATGGAAAATGCTGGGAAGCAAAAGCTAAATGGATTGAAAAAATGGCCCGGAAAATGGCAGTTTTGCAGCTTATTTTATACATTAGAATCAAAGGAGGAGATATAAGGAGAGTTACATGAAATCCTGCTGGTAGATTAAGGGGGTGGTGAAACCGGAGGCCAAACGAGTCCGGGGCTTGTGCTGCCTGCGCCGCTCAGCCAATAGACCGACACAGGAGTTGGGTCGTAGCATAAATGTTTATTATCAGAGCACCGGTGGTCTGAGAATGTAGCGGGTTAACACTTCCAAAAACTGCCGTCACATTCTCAGACCGGCCTGGGATATTTAGGGGAAAATCTGGGCATTCCTCCAGAGGCTGTGTGATGGTTCCAGGGCTCTGCATGGAGCCTTCCCTCAGACGATATGGCTCTCCAACATGGTCATCAACCCAGAACAGTGATGGTATTGCCGGAGAGTGGGCACTTCTTGGCACAATGTCCAGGTTCTTGGCATCTCGAGCAAAGAATTGAGCGAGATACTGAGGCACAGTAGTGAAAAAGCAGTTTATTAGAAGAGATAGTACTCTTCAAAGAATTAGAAGTGGGCTTGAGCAGTAGAGAATGGCTCAAGGGCCCATTATTAGAAGAGAAATTACACTCCCAAGTGTTTGGAGCCTGCCGAGCAAAGGGAGAAGCTCAAAAGGCAGCCAAGGGCTCAAGGGGCTCAGGGCTCAAGGCCCAAGGTGACGTTATTAGGAGAAAAAGTACAGTCCAAAGAATTTGGAGTGGGCCGTGAGCAAAGGCAAGGCTCAAAACACTCAAAGGGCGCTGACTGGCCAGGACTTGGGGTTTTTATCCCTTCTCTAGAATGGGCTTTTCCTCTCTGGGCGTGGGACCACTTGATTGACACCTGTGATTGACAAGAGGCTATTACCTCATCTTTTTAGACTGCGCTTGTGTGGGTGACTGGTTTAATCCAGTTGGGTATTTTATACCCATTTGTTTCCCCTAAGGGTAGATAATCACAATGAAAAGGAGTTTTGAGGGGAGGTCTTTTGGGCAGTCACATTCTGTGGGCTGTGTTGGACGTGCAGGAATACAGAGACCTGATGCCTGCCTTTAATTGCCTGCCTTGTTCACACCTTGAGAGATGTGATCTGCATAAAATCTCTATGGGAAGCTGAGGGACAGGAGGTCTCTTCTTCTGTATCTGCTTCCTGCTGGGCAGGGGCATAGAGTTGTCCCTGCCTATTGGGGGCTCACGGAACTCTCACCCTAGCTGATCTCAGATGAGAGGAAGGGGTCTCGAGATCCGCCTGGAAGATTGTGTTGGCTTCTTTGGTTGCGACTGGGAATCTTGTTGGGGTATCATTTGTATCCCCAAGGTCCCTGAGTGAAGAAAAATTGATTTTAATTAATAAATCCGTTAGCTCTTATGGAGCCTGTGGCCATTCAGCTGGTCTCTCAGGTGGCGTCAGTTGTCCAGGAGCTGGGCCCAGAATGGGTTTGGAAAGAATCATTAGGCTTACTGGCCTGGGAAATGGTAAAATCTATATATTTAGTATCTTGGAGGGAATTATCCAAGAATTAGGTCCGGAATGGCTTGGGGGATGTTGGGAAGTCATAGGCTTTTAAGTAGTTATCTGAAGCAGGGGTAGGAGATTTCTATGATTCAGATTAAAAACAATCTATTGTTTACAATTAAGAAACTGATTTACAAAACAATCAAGAAGCAGGGGGATAGGAGATTTCTATGATTCAGGCTAGGAGCAATCTTAGGTCTAGGATTCAGAAACTGATTAGAAGAGCAATCAAAGCCAGGCGCTAAGGAACTAGGGAGAAGGAGACTTAACATTTCTATAGGTGGGTCAGCCGAGTGGCTCAGTTGGTTGAAAGTTAGCTTAAGAACGCAAGCGCTGAGCAACAGGGACACCGGTTCGATTCCCACATGGGCCCGTGAGCTTTGCCCGAGCTGAGCTGCCGCTGAGCTGCCAACAGGTGGCAGAATGGCTCAGCTGGTGAGAGCACATGCTCCTAACAACAAGAC